TATATGCGATACTTCAGTACACTTATTTGGTCAATTGGAATATGTATATGGTTCTTAAGGAGTGGTCCCTCGAGATATAGTGGTCATTCGGGACAAGTTTAAGTGCCCATAGTGGGAATTTATACGAGCTGTGGTGACAGCATATGTGCACAACCTCAGTGTACTCACGTACCTCAGATTCTCAGTAATGTACATGGGCATTCCAAAAGATAAAATTGAATTAAAAACCTCATAAGATGATATGTTTCATTTGTGTACTTTGTAATTTTGCATGTAATAGTTGAGGAAATATATACAAATGGTAAGGTTATTATGGAATTTATAGAAGTGCATGTTTCATGAATTCATTATTACATGTTATATTATGCCTAACTAAGTTTGTGACTTAGCGTGTAAATGGTTTACATGTAGGTACCGAGAAACAAGAAGATCAGAGTTAAAGCTTAAAAAGACATCATCTCCATTGCAGCTATAAGATCAGAAGTGATTTAAGACAGTATGCCATTTTGTTGTAATAATTATGTTGGTATGTAATTACATTTTAAATCATATATGCTCTGATCGATTTTGTTAATCATTTTAATGTTATTTATGTAAATTATTGTACTGTTGATTCAATAAAAGTATTAAATTTTATGAGATTTTGTAAAAGTAAACGTTTTGAAAATTCAATATGACACCTCATACTTGTATTCGGGTCGGATACGAGTTGGGGGTGTTACATCAAATATATTAAATGGTCTTCCAACTACATAGATAATATCGAAGTACCTTTCAGATGTATCGACTTCATGATTCCTTTTACACCAATGTGAGATGTTAATAAGACTCACCAGGTTCTTACGGATGAAGACGCCAGTAAATTCATCTCAACTCTTATCACCCCAACTCATGAGGATAAATTGATTTAGAGTCACCACAACACTGGCTACTATTCACCTAAATCTGGGTACAACCGTCTCCTTTTGAAATAATGCACGCCTCCAAAGCAAGGAAAAATTTAGAAAGTTCTCAACAAACTTCCAACCCTTCCAAAAATTAGAATCTTTGGTTGGAGGGTATGCCACAGGGCTCTCCCAACTGGGAAGAGAATGAATAATGTAGGAATCACCGATGAGTATTGTCCAATATGCGGTTTTGGGTTAGAAACCCTAATCTACGCACTCAATGAGTGACCAAAATAAAAAAAAAGTTCTACAATTCTCAGGGCTTCACCCATATATCATCAACTGGCAGGGAAACACTTGCAAAGAGTGGTTAGAATGTGCTAATTCATAGATGGACATAGAGTGGCTCTCTAAAATCATAGTTTTTTTGGGGAACCTTTGGAATCAAAGAAATAAATAAGTTCATGATGAAGAAATACATGAAGACAGAGATGTTATTATGGCGGCATAAAACCTAAGCGCTAAGTTTAAGATAACTAACCTTGAAGAAACGCTTCCTCCCTCCTAACAGACTCATTACAACTGTCACAAATGGATCAAGCCTAATGAAAATGTAATCAAGATTAACGTTGATAGGGCTTTTATAGTGTCAGAAAATTCAACTGCTACAGGAGTGGTTGTGTGAGATCATAATGGACTAGTTATTTGTGGTTTGTGTAGACAGATTGACCCTCATTTCACTCTAGAATCAGCAGAAGCGGAAGCGTTTACCCAAGAGATCAAGTTCGGAGTCGAAAATTGGTGGCCAAACATTATAATTAAGGGAGGTGCAATTTCTATAGTTTACAGGCTTGCCAACAAAAGAGAGGATTTTTCAACCATTGGCTTGCTTCTTGAAGAGACTCGCACCTTAATAAATAGAAATATGTATCTCAAAGTTTTTTATGTTAATCGGAAAGCAAACCGTGTGGCCCACACTCTTGCTAACTGGGCTTTAACGAGATCTAACCCGTTATGGTTCTACTATGAAGAATCTGAATGTATTTAGAATGTAATTCTACTTGACGCAATTGAAATCTAATGAATTTTCACTTTAAAAAAGTATAAACCCCATCACGATTTAACTTCTAATAACAATATATAAGTAAAGGATTGAACAGTTTGAAATAAAACAAAGAATCAATTCTCACATTTTTAACATAATTTAGGGACTAAAATCATAATTAAACATATATTTTAATATTAGTAACATTTTTAAATGTAATTTTTGAGGGAGTGAAAATAAAATAAAATAGAATAAAAGAAGACAGCAGTCACTTTAATAAAGCGGAGAGAGGAGTTATCCCTTTCATATGTTTAAGCTTAGAAATGTTGGTATGATATGACATCTCAATATCTAAGCCCTACCCTTCACCTTTTATCAAGTAAAAAGCCTTCCCATGCACATGCATCCCCCACGTGCTTTCTAGGGCCGTGGAACCACATTCTTCCCCTTTCCCCTTTGTACCAAAAATAAAATCAATAAGAGTTAACTTCGCTTGCATCCTCAAACTATCACCCTCTTTCTAAATTAGTCCATAAACCTTTAAACATTCTAATTTCATCCTAAACTATGACTCTTATTTTGAATTAGTCCCTAGAATTTGAAAATTTTGAATCCATCTTCAATCTGTGACCCTCATTCTATATTGATCCCTGAACTTTTTAATATTCTAATTTTATCTCCAAACTTTTGAATGATTTAGGGGGAAGTTTTTGGAATTTAAAAGCTAGAGGACAAATTTAGAATGAGGGTTATAGTTTGGGGATGAATTTGGAATTTTCAAAATTTTATGGTTGAATTTAGAATGATAATCATAGTTTGAGGATGAATTTAGAATATTTGAAAGTTTAAGGACTAATGTAAAATGAGAGTCATAATTTGAGTGTGTATAATGTAATTACTCAATTGATAATTAAAAAGAGTTAGAAAAATACTTCATATAATACAACATATATATTTCGTATTTTAATCGTATATTTGTCTTATTTTGTATTTTAAAGTAAGATAACTCATATTTTAATTTATAAATTTATCATTTTCTATATTGGTATTGGAAATTTTCACTATTTTCACTATTCTCATATTAACATATAAATTTATCTTCTCTCAAACACATCATCACTCTTTTATAAGGGTATTAAATAAGGTTGTGTCACTTTAATATTATCCAACATCATCATTTGAAAAATAAAAAAAAATAAAAAATAGTAAAAATAATTATAAATATTTTGAAATGGTATTTTTTTATATTTTGAAAACTGTATTTTTTAAAATTGGTTCCAAATATTTTAAATGAATATTAAATTTGAAGAGTTAATTTGAATTAGAATTAAATTTGATAAAATATATAAATTTAGGAAATTAAAAATATTATTATATTATGATACATATCATAATATATATATATTAATTTAACGATCAAAATTAATGATAAATAACTAAAATAAAGGCAATACTAGATATGATTGTGCCATTAAATGACCAAAATAAAGCATGATAATAGATAGAGTGTCAGATAAATAGTTTACCCTAATAATTATAACTTGTAATAAGTGAGAAAATACAGAAACATGAAAATCTGTGACGCGCTGAGAAAAAAGGCAAGTAAATGGGAAAGGGACGCCTTACAGTCTAATTTTAGTTAAAAATTCAAAAAAGAAAAGAAAAAGAGAGAGAGAGAGAGAGAGAGATGATGAGACTAGAGATGATAAAAGAGGCCTGCCTTTCTGACTCACTGAGCCTTTCTGACTCACTGAGCCTCTCTTTGTCACCCAATAAAACTAGCATGAGGTTAAAATGTCCGAGTTAACTCGCAAAACAAAAAAAATAAAAATAAAACTGCTGATGTGTTTTATTTTTAATGATGATTTGATATTATATGACACGTTAATATCATTATCTTTAATTTTTTAATGAAATTTGAACAAAATGAAATAGTAGAAATAAATGAATGACTAAACATATTTTTTATTGTCAAATTTATCTTATTTTATTCAGAGTAAAATAAAATTTAGAAAAATGCAAAAATGATTATTTTAGTTGAAAAGCAGATATTGGTGTTTGTTGCATTGAATTGGGAACCTCTGCTTTGTCTTAGTTGGGGTAGGCCTGCGTTACGCTGAAAAAATAATACTCTATTATACCTAAAAATAGTAAAAATATATATATTTTTTATATCAGTTCCAAAGCTGTTTCTTATCCAATTTCATCAAATTAAAAAAATATTTATAATTTAATGTTAATATTTCATTTTTATTATTAAATTATTATTATTATTATTATTATAATATTATGATTAATTGTTCCAATTCTAAAGTTGATTAACATATTTATAATATTATTATGTTAAATGTTTTTCTTGTTACCCCTCCCGGTTCTAAGGTTTTACGTTGATCATTAATATTACTATTTTATAACAGTTTAGTCACTCGAGTATTAACAGTCGTTATCCATTAATAAAAGGTTGATGTGGTACACTAGGTTAACTTATCGTGCACCGTTTGACCACGTATGATAAGAATAAACTACATAAATCGTCACTAAAACATAAGTAAATTTTTTAATACTAAAAATTTAAAAATAACAAAACAATTACTATCAATATCGTTTTATAACGAATCAATCACTTAATTATTAACCTTTAAACCCCTATCTTCGTTGCCAACCATAATTGACATGCAAATATATTGATTACATTCATTTCATGATCTATGGGTTTAAAACTTCTAAACTCATCTCTTCTAATATATCCACGTGAATATGTTATTAAAATTTAACGATCCAATAATAAAATTAAAAATATAATTAAAATTTATATTTTTGATTAAAAAATAAAAGTTTAAATAGATAAAGGATATATTACTTAAATATTAATTCTCAAAATAATATTTTAACTATTTTAATATTTATGACATTGATCTAAAAGAATGAGCAAGAACTCAAAAAGAAAAAGAAAAAGAAGAGAGACAAGAGAAGGAAGGGTAATGTAGTGTCATAGGTTTGTCCCCCCACGCAGACACTTCTCCTTTCCCACTTTCTCTTCAAAGTCCAAAAGCCAAAAAAAGCCACCACACTAACACTGGATTGCCTTTTGTTTTTCCTCTGCCCCTTCCATTAACCCATTTGTCTGTCTCCTCTGCTCCCTCTTCTCAGTACCTTCAAATGGGGGTGGATTCCTTCTTCGAATTCCTTGTTATTATTTGACCTCCCCTTCCCTTCTCTCTTTTAACCCTCCCCCTATTTTCATTCAGCATGCCTTTCTCCTTCTTCTAATCTTTGAAAGAGATTTTCACGGCATTAGTTTGACTCAAATTCCCCTTCTTTCTCTCTCTTTTTTTAGCTTTGTGGGAATACCCTTTCTTTGTTTGGTTATGTGGGTGCTCATGGTGAGGTAAAAAAGGTTGTCTTTTAAGAAAAAAATATTAGAGCTTGGGATGTTCATGGAAATTGATCTGAACCATGCAGTGAATGAGGTGGAGAAGACGACTGCAGTTTGCAATGTTGACTGTGACAAAGTGAACTGTTTGTCCTCTTCATCATCTTCTTCATGTTCAAATTTGGCTTCATCCCCATGTTCCTCTTCCTCCATTTACTTGGAGCTTTGGCATGCTTGTGCTGGCCCCCTCACTTCACTCACCAAAAAGGGCAGCCTTGTTGTTTACTTCCCGCAGGGTCACTTGGAACAACTGGCTTCTCCTTTGGAAATCTCCACCTTTGATCTTCCCCCTCATATCTTTTGCAAAGTGGTCAATGTCCAGCTTCTTGTAAGCACTCAATTCTTCTTCTCTTACATTGAATTTTCTTTGCATTAGCTTCCCACTCAAGGTTATAGCTTTACCTTTACTTTAAATTGGTTGCTTTAATTGAAGTTTCCTTCCCTCCTTTTTTACAGGCCAATAAGGAGAATGATGAAGTCTATACACAAGTCACTTTACTTCCTCTGCCAGAGGTATACGTAAATCTTATATTGGGATTAGAATATTTGAATGGCATTGTTTTTTCCTTTTGAAGAATTATATTTGTGTGTTATTACTTGCATAATCCCAAGTAATGTTTTTTTCATAGGATGGGTTTTCAATGCTTCTTAGGGTTTGAGTGACTTGAATGAATTGTATTCCTATCTGCACACTTTCATTGTAAGAGACAGTCCAAATTTCATGGCTTTTGGTGACATAATTTTGGGGTTTTTGTGTAGTTGGGAGGACCTAATTTGGAGACCAAGCTGCTGGATGAGCTAGGTGCAGATGAGGGAGATGGCGGATCTCCTAATAGATCAACCCCACACATGTTCTGCAAGAAGCTAACCGCATCCGATACCAGCACTCATGGAGGGTTCTCTGTTCCTCGTAGAGCCGCGGAAGACTGCTTTCCGCCACTGGTATGATTTCGTATTCTTAATTCTCATGTACTATTTACCTGGCTGCCTATTCATCCTAGAAATATCATGTATATGTAATGGTGTTTGCCTTGATTTCAGGATTATAAACAGATGAGGCCGTCTCAAGAACTTGTTGCCAAGGATCTGCATGGAGTTGAGTGGAGGTTTCGACATATATATAGGGGTAATTTTAGCATAGAGGATATAATATTTCGTACAGTAGTGTTTAAAATGTTTTCTTGATTGAAAGAAACATCGATTGAGCTTAATGTTTATTAACTTATAGGTCAACCGAGGCGACACCTCCTTACTACGGGCTGGAGCATTTTCGTGAGTCAAAAGAATCTTGTTGCTGGGGATGCAGTGCTCTTTCTGAGGTATGTACTTCGGACAGTGACTAATCGATCCATTATGTTTTACCTGAACAGATTGCATCCTCATTGATTCTTAGGTATCGGTCAAAAGGGGGAATTTTATAAAAGAATAATAGAATCATAAATCTAATAGGACTGAACATGATAACTTGAAATGCTTTTATGCTTCTTGTGAATCATAAATATCTACTTTCATGTGAAAATATAACTTAAGTTTTTAGAGTTCCAATGTGCCTTGTGTTCCCTTGGCCTGGTTGTTTGAAGTTCTCCTTATTTATCTTTTCTTCAATATTGTAGGGGCAAAGATGGAGAGCTTAGGTTGGGAATTAGGAGAGCCGTACGACCAAGAAATTGCCTTCCCGAATCGGTTATCACGAAACAAAATTCATATCCAAATGTTCTTTCACCGGTGGCTAATGCATTATCCACTAAAAGTATGTTCCATGTCTTCTACAGTCCAAGGTAAGTGTCTCCTTCAGCTTATTTAATGAAATCGACTGGTATTTGACAGAGAAAAGAAAAGAAAAATGAATAATCTGGGAAGTGATTAAAATAAAAATGCAAATTTTTTATAAATGCCTTTTAAACCCGTTTTAAATGCCTACCGAGTGATTCTGAAAGTTCGATTTTCTTTGTTTCATCTGGAATGTGATTCGGTGTGTTGTGTAGCCAAGCTCATAAACCTATTTTAAACATGTACCCTGTGAATATTTGATGTGAAATGGAATGATAAGCTTATTCATATTGCTGTAATGCAGGGCCACTCATGCTGAGTTTGTCGTACCCTTTAAGAAGTATATCAAGAGCATAACGAATTCAGTGTGCATCGGAACAAGATTCAAGATGAGTTTTGAAATGGATGATTCGCCCGAGAGAAGGTATTATTTGATAAATGGTTTTTACCTGTAAATGGTTTTTTACTTCGAGATTATAATAACAGTTCTACTTTCATGCAGGTTTAGTGGTGTGGTGATGGGAATTGGGGACTTGGATCCTTACAAATGGCCCAATTCCAAGTGGAGATGCTTAATGGTGAGCTCCTAATTGTAGTTTGTATATTCGAGCTGTTATTTGTATAGTCTTTATCGCGAAACTCGGTTAAGCGAATAATATATAGTCTTTATTAAAATATATTACATTTTTATGTATGTATACTTTATGCTGAAAATTGATGTATGCCAAGTAAACCGTTCTTCAGAATGGCAAATAACCGAGTGTATCTGTCATTGCCAAAAACTCTTTTGTATATCCAACTTGGCTCATTTCTGGGGTTAGATTTTTGGGGAAATTGAAATGTTCCTACAATCAATGTTGAGTCCGCCGCTTAAATAAATACATATGCACATTTTTTTTCCAGTGTGTTCATTGTGTCAACATATGGAAGAAAAAATCAAAACTGTTGAATGAATCTTGTTTGACTCTATTTTAAGACCTTTCTTATGACATTTAACAGGTTAGGTGGGATGAAGATAATGTGATTGATCGCCACGATAGAGTCTCACCTTGGGAAGTCGATCCTTCTGTTTCTCTCCCACCTTTGAGTATTCAATCTTCACCGAGGTTGAAGAAACTGCGAACAGATCCGCAGGATGCTGCACCTGACACCCCCATAACAGGTGCAAATCTCTCTAAAAGTTGGTAATATTGTTGCATAGTTTTACTCAATTAACGTATGCTTCCTATGTTCCTTTCTTCAGAGGGGAGTCGATTTTTGGACTTTGAGGAATCCTTGAGATCCTCTAAGGTCTTGCAAGGTCAAGAAAATTTAGGTTTTGTGTCACCCTTACACAGACGTGATACTGTAAACCGTCCCCTAGATTTTGAGATGCAGTCTCCTGCTCATCATCAAAGTCTGGCATCAGCAGGGATTGGAAAGTGTAATACTAGTGAGTTTATGAGGGTTCGTCCCACTGCTTATGCAGGCTTTGCGGAATCTAATAGATTTCCGAAGGTCTTGCAAGGTCAAGAAATTTGCCCATTGAGATCCCTAACACAAAAGGCTGATTTCAACCTTGGTGTTTGGGCGAAAACCAACCTTGGTTGTTCTTTCAGCATGCATCAGGCACTGAAAACCAATTGTTATCCACTAGCATCGGAAGGTATTCGAAGTATGTATTTTCCTTGTAGTGAATTTTACAAAACCGGTCAGGAGTCTATGATGAGCTCTTATCCATCCCCTCCTCTGCGAGGCAATATTCCGTTCAATGCTTCCTCAATCAAGACAGGGGTAGGGGTTATTGTGGACGGGGTCAGAAAACAAAATCCATTGGATGAGCCTAAGCCGGTGGAGAATATTCTGAGTCCTGCTCCTGAAAACAATTCAAGGAACCAACAGGATGTATCCTTTAAAAGAAATGTTGCCGGATGTAAACTCTTTGGGTTCACTTTAAATGCAGAGTCGCCTACTCTGAGCTCACAAAATTCTGGTAAGAGGAGTTGTACGAAGGTAAGCTATGTTCTGGTTGAATCTGAATTTAACTTTACTTCCTGTTCCTCTCCTACTGACTTCCATTTCGCTGGCTTGAAGGTTCACAAGCAAGGCAGCTTGGTTGGAAGAGCCATTGATCTCTCGAAACTGTACGGATATGATGACTTGATGACTGAACTAGAACGTCTATTCGGTATGGAAGGTCTTTTAAGTGATCCGGATAAAGGGTGGCGGGTTTTGTACACCGATAGTGAGAACGATGTAACGGTTGTTGGAGATGACCCTTGGCAGTAAGTGTCACTTTTCATCCTTTCTTTCAGCTTTCATGCAAATAACTCACCTATGATTGTGGTCGTTTACCCCCTTTGTTTTGCAGTGAATTCTGTGATGATGTGTCGAAGATCCATATATTCACCCAAGAAGTGGAGAAGATGACAATAGGAATGGGAGGCGACGACACACAAAGCTGTTTGGAACAAGCACCGGTGATAATGGAAGCATCAAAGTCTTCCTCGGTGGGGCAGCCGGGTTCATCATCTCCAACGGTAATAAGGGTATGAAGTTTGTTGTTTGTTTTTTCTAACGTCGGCGGCGGCTGCCATGTCCTGGTCATTGTGTTTGCTATGTGTGCTACAATAAATTAAATGCGCTGAAGATTTCTATGTACCAAGTACTTGTCAAATTTGGGTTGTTTTCAAAACTATTGCATGTTGTTTATGAGAAACAGAGAGATTACTTCCAAGAATTGTTAATCTCTCCAAGAATTGTTATGTATGGTGTCTACAAACTACAAGCAAAAGTCTATCTTTAGTTTTGTAAACACCAACACTTTTCAGTCTCCCTTACTGTTTTTCACGACCAATAACCATTCTTCTGATTTCGCTAGTTCCTGCTCCGATTTCATAGAGCTTGGCATCTCGAAGAAGACGTCCGGTTGCGTATCCGTTTCCACCTAAACATTGTATTGCCTACAAAACCGAATATGAACACATGATTTTGATCAAACGTCAATACACATTTCAGTGAAGTTGTTAATCAACTGCTTTTGAATAGGATCAACAGGTAACAAGAATTTTAAAAATCTTTTATCCAATAGCCGTCCAATTAACGAAACTATTTCGGTTTGGTCACAAAACGGCTCTACCCGAACAAATAGTATTACGAATCTGGAGATCATAGTAACGTCACTCCACTTATTAGTTGCATTTTAGGAGAACCGAAACAGAAACAAAGTTGTGATGTGAACAAAAGCAGGTAAATCTTTCACCTGCAAAGCAACTTGAGTGGCTCGTTCTGCAGCAGAAAGTATAACTCCAGCGCAGTCCTGAAATTTTGCATCCACAAATTCAAGTCCCCATGTAAACATGTAAAATGGAAAACACAGGCCATATGAAGGTCAGCAAGAACTCATAGTAACGGTGTCTATCTGAAAGACCAAGAAAACCTTAGCATTCACACCCTCTCCCCATACATATATACATATAGGACCTTGTTTTATGTAGTCTTTAGCAACAACCTGATAACAACAGTATAGACCTGGAACATGCTATATTGCAACTGATGATGATAATGACCAGGTTGGAAAATGTTCCTATGAGAATCAGCATAAAAAAATAGGCATAATGTTAAAATTAACCCCTAATATTTGCTTGTATAGTCATTTTAGTCTCTATTCATTTTTTTGGAGCACTTTAACTCTAAACGTCTCAATTTTTTGTATCAAAATGACCCCTATTGGATGAAATCGTTAGTTGACTAACGATCAACGCATGTTGTTGACTAGTCATATATCAAATCACCCAAGGTGATGATATGTCATATGACACGGAAACAATTTAGTTCATTTATATGGAAATGCCACGTCAGGAACAAGCATTTTATTAGTCAACTAACGATGAGGAGAAAAAAGCACGTTGTCTTTCGTTTCTGAACAATTTGCTTCATAGAGAACTCGCTGCAATTATCCTCTAATATATATATTTTTAAAATTTTAGCTGTGAATTAAAAATTTAAATACAGAGAAAGAATCAACGGGGAGAAGAAGAAGATGAAGATTATATATATAGGCTTGGGATGGAGGTTGGTAGATTTAACTGGATTAAGATTTACACTTGTCTGACTAGGACTAAGCCCTATGTTTATCCTATTGGTTGAGTTAATTTATCCTATGGTTGAGTTAATATTTTACGAGTTTCGTCTCACTAAATGTGTTTTTTTAATTTTTAAATTTATTTCATTCGAAATGTCATATTAAAAAAAATAATAAATAATAACATTTATATTTTTTTACACTTATATATTTCATATCAAAACAAATCTATCAATCACTTAATTTTATCATTTTTTTAATCAAATATATCTCTTAAAATTATTTACATAATAAATATAAGACAAATTATGGGATTAAGAGAGTACTTTAGAGTTTAAAGTATTTAAGATTAATAATAATTATAAATTGGATTGTATCATATTTTTAATTTATTTTAATTTCATTTATGTAAAATATTTTTTGCTCTTCATCAGATTTGATTCGAGATTATAGAAGTTTTATTCAATCTGAACATTTTGATTTTAGGGTCAAAATATATATTTGAACTGATTCTGCTCAATATATATAAAAATTATTATTTTTAGTAGATAAAATAGAGATTTAATTGAAAAATTTAAAGAGAATGATATTATAGTAATTATTTTTAAATATATACAAATCAATTATATTATTATTTTTAGGTCTGATTGAGTCAAATATTTTTCAATCTAAACTTATATATAATTCAACTCAACCTGAATCTGAATAAAAAGAACAATTATATTAAATCAAATTGAATCAAAATCAATCGTGTTAAAGTTGATATTTTTCTCTATATATGATACATAACAATAAATTAGACTTCGTAAATGAAATATTTTCCCTTTTCAATACATAAAATAATATTTTTATTATATATATATATATATATTTAATTATAAAAAAGTACAATGATAAAAATTAGTTTTTAATATTTGTTGAAATTTAAAGTGTTTTGATCTCTAATATTTTAATTGTTGATTAAAATAATCATTGTTAGATGAAAACCGTTAGTTAACTAATTAATACATATTATTGGTGTAATATTTTTATATGTGCTTGTTGGAACCGTCGTTCGGTTGGGCCCGAAATTAGACTTCGACTTAGGAAAATGGATTGGGAGTCGCCACCGATCATTTTATTTTATTAAAAATGAGTTGACCAAATACCTTATTTCTTACATGATCTGCGTCTTACCAGTGACATGTCAGATTCGGGAGTCGGTTACAGTCAAGGAATGGTTAGCACCCTTGAACTGCCCTTTCGGTACTACGTAATTTCCAGTTGTCATTAAGTAAGAAAATTGTAAGTTTAACATAAAATGTAAAATAACGATCCAAAATTACTTACCTCTGATTGACTGAACGAAAACCCTTAAAAAGACTTAAATGTTAAATTTAGAATGAGAAGCCGAATTGGATTAAGATATAAAATGCACAAAAAGATGAAAATGATAATAAAATAAATAGCATAAGGAACACAAATAAAGTGATAAAATAAATAAACAGAAAATAAAATAAAAAATAAATAAAGGAAAAAATTAAGAACATAGAGAGCAAACAAAAAATAAATAAATAAAACAAGAGTAAAAAACAAAGACAAAATGGACATGAAACATACACAAAAGTAAAAAATAATAAAAAATATAAAGAATATATACATATACACAAACATTAAGAAAACAAAATATAAATAAATAAACAAAATATATATTAAGGTATAATAATAAAAATAAATAAAAAATAAAAAGACTAAAATAAAATAGAAATAAAATATATACATATATAGTAACGTTTAAACAAAATATTAAAATGAAATAATAATAGGAAATAAGATAAAATGAAAATGAAAAGTAATAATAATAATAATAATACATCTATACGTAATATATATATATGTGTATATATATATATATATAGATAATAGAATGAAATATTAAAAAAGGTAATAATAATAAATAAATGAAAAACAGGAGGGAAAACAAATGAACAAAAATAAATAATAATATATATTAATTAAAAAAACATGTATATATAGTAAAAAATATAAAAATGAGAAAAAAATAAGTAAATGAATTAAACTACGTAAGGATTAAATTGAAAGAACCATAAACTGGAGATCAAATTTCGTAGAAATATTAAGGTGTAAATTCAATTCAAGGATTAAAATAACTCTTTAAACGCGAAGAGGGACCCAAAGGGTAGTTTACCCTATTTATTTTAGAAACACTCGAGTCACCTTGGTTCTGGGTCTGGTCAATTTGGTCTGCTGGGTTTAATATAAAATCCAAAAAAAAAATTAAAACCCTCATTTGTGAGATTTTAGCCGAGACCCCCCCTTTGTTCTCACTTTCCTCTCTTCTGTTCTTAATACGCGAAAAACACAGCCCCAATTTTCCAGAATCCGGTCGTTGTGCTGCCTCGACGTCGTCGTTGATCGGCGCCGGCCGTCGGTCATCGGCGGCAAAAGTAAAAAAAAAACTTTTTCCGAAAGCTTTAAACCCCCTCGTTTTAAAAATTCAACTAGTTTTTACAAATCGGCCTCAGGGAATCGCAGATCTAAAAGAATAACCTCGGTTCCCTTGTGTTCATCGGCAAAAAAAAATCCCGATCTCTGGTGTTTTTTGAATCAAAATGCGACAAAGACACAAAAACAACATGCAAAGGTACGATTTTTTACCTTTCTTTCTTTCTGTCGAACTATGAATGCTTTGAAAAATGGCTATGAGTTGCTCGAAAGCTTTGCTTGTATTTCGTATTTCAATCCCCCGTACAAATGGGGTTCAATTACATGTATTTATAGTCTAAGAAATAAACTGTCCTTAGAGATTGAATACGAGTAAGACTCGGTTTGGTTGTTTGAAGTCCCATTAGCGCACGTTGCTTTGCTTGTATTTCATGTGCTTACGTCTGTTGGTGGTTGTTTGATATTGAGGAGTTCACGGCACCGAGAAAACCGGGGATGAGTGCCGGCGAGACGTGGGACACAGGACTCTCGCATGGGGACAGTTACGGCGTTGGTTGGAACTTGCTAGGGTTTTAGGAAACCTTTTCTTGCTGGGTCACGAGCTTGTTGGGCCTGGGTTACTTGGGCCATTTTTTATTTTTGTGTAACGGGTCTGGATGTAAAAAGTAAAGAAACTATATTAATATAATAATAATATCATATGTATATATATTATACGATGTACACAGTGCACACTAAAATATGTAACACATATATATTGTATAATATATAGTTATAAGCAAGGACGAAATTTTGTGTTTACAACTGCCCCTCTTTGCTCATTATCGTGTAACGAGAATAGAACAAAGATTAAAATACACAAATTTCATCCATATCAAATATCCTCTATCGTAGAGTTAAGATCCGATACTAAAACTGGTTTGTCATTTTAAATCACGAAATGACTCCCTCGTCGTGAGGTTTAGTTGAAACTGGAAAATTTCTGAGCACGATATCCTTCGTCGTGAAGTTGAAATCGGACTCAAAGTTTTTGGCAAGTGGTATCTGAATCGTCTTCTGGCTCAAGATACTTTGTCGTGAAGCTGAAACTTGACCTGAAGACTTCTGTGCTACAAATGACTCCTTCGTCG